TTAATTAAATTAATTAAATTATTAAATGAGCAACTTGTAACATATTTTGGTTGAATATCAGTAAAGAAAATAAAGAGGCCCTCACCTCAACTTTCAGTTTAATTTGGGAAAATCTATGTTAAGGGGTGCAATAACCTAATTGTTTGATGTCAGACATCTTTTTCCTAAATTAGCTCTCTGATACTGTGAACACACTTTAAATTAGCAGATTTGGCCTGACAGAAATTTGCCCCCTCATCTGATAAGAAAAAACAAACAAAAAAAAGACTTTTCTCACCACACACTGACCACAATGCAGATGTAACAACACATAAGTAGTTACCAGTTAGAAATGAATCACATAAATAGGGCATAACAAGTCCTAGCACATAGACAAAAGAAGATTTTGGCTTTTTACTTTAAATCAAAATGGACCTTGTTTCCTTGTTTACCTTGTAGAATCATGTTTCAGATATCACAGAAAATGGAGATCAAAATGCCTGTAATGGTGGAGGCAATGAGGCAGGATGCAAATGTGAGTTGCTTTTATTGAAATTAGAGTTTACAGCGTCCAGAGTAGCAGAGGTTTGAAGAACAGACAAGTCCATGACAAAAACAAAACCAAACTACAAGATGAAAGAAAACAAGAGACAAAGTAACATCCACGAGTACATCCACAATACAAGACAGAGACTGAACAAACACAGGGGTATACGAGAAACACCTGGGACTAATGAGGGGCGGAGCACAGACAGGTGAAACAGATAACAAGGGGGTAGGACCAGGGAGGAGACACAGAACAACAACAAAAGCACATGTCACAAGAAAACAAAAAGGCACATGGCTACCATAGAGGGGGAGAAGGACATACTCAGAGCAACAAAGGGAGAATCCCTGACAATGCCACAGTGCTTCATTTTTGACAAAGTCTGACTTTGTGTTAGTTTCGTTTTGGAAAACCTGCTTTTCACAATCCAATGACATTCTGAAGAGTTAAATCATGTCCCGCCTTCAGTTATTTCCTGCGTGCGCATCTTGTTTCACTCGGAAGCATGTCGCAGTAAGGAAGAAAAAAGTGTTCTGATTTCCGATTTATGTTAACTTTAACTGCAAAGCTGTGCACCTCAAATATAGATCAACCAATGTAATATTTAAATCTGCATGCTGTAGGAATTATGTGTTGAATTTGAAAGAAATAACATTTCTGAGGAGAAAACACACTAAAGTACTGTGTGTTTGTCCTGCTGCAAGTCACTCTTTAAAGCCTGCAATAGTAATTTAAAAGTTCATAGGTGGTGGGTCAGGTTTTGTGGGAGTTTTATCAGACCACATCATACTTTTTTACATACTAACATCACAAGCTCAAAAAGGAGGATGTTTAGGTCACAAGAGTAAAATCAACACGGGGAATGGGGTCCAAAGCACAAACCACATTACGAAATGTTCTTCTGCCCTTTGCATGCAATTACACGTCTCCACCAGAGAGGTCTTCAAATCCCCAAATATTACATAGTGTAGCTTTAAAGAATACAACTTTCATCAACATTATGAAAACAAACATAGCTGAAGTTTATTCACATAAAACACTAATGAATTGCAACCCACCTGCCTTGTTTATTTGCATACTGTTTTGTCTTTTTGGAGACAAAAAGTTTGAGAGCATTAGTCTAGTAGATAGTCATAAAAGTCACTCTCCCCTCCATCTTTGACCATGGCTGCATAAGCCGTATTAGACAGATAGATCCTTTCCTAAATGACTTTTCAGAGTTATGAGGCGTGTGTTGAAATTTCAGGGCGCAGACTAAAATGCATGGCATGCATGTGAGCGCTCTGTGTGGTTTAGCTGTGAATTATGCATGGCAGTGAGGGATATTTTGGTCAGCTCTTCGCGGGGCTGTGACACTGGCTCTCAGACAGCTAGAAAATGCTATCAGTGTGTTTATACTGCATCTGGATCACAGGTAAAGTTGATCTGTTGAGTATTTCTGTGCAGTGCGTGCATATATCCCATTAGGTTACCTGCAGGCTGACTCCTCCTTCTATTCTTTAGCCCCATCTGCTGTGCCAATTGCTTTTTTAAAATGTGCAACACATGCAAATGTGGTCTATAAGTAACTGAGCAGTGACACAATTGCTGTTGGTTTGGCTCTGTACTTTAAATGATTAGATTAAAAATGAGACGATAACTATGAGAGCAAAGTGAAGAATGTCCGATGACATTTAACTCTAGGCTTATTGTTAAGTTATGAATAGCTTATAACTTTTATAGTTATTACAGGAATTGAAGTGTTGGCCCACACACAGGCCTTTAGGGTTTAACAGGTTCCTTTACTTGTATATTTATTCACATGTTGGGTGAACCATATCAAAATTGCAGGCCTTTTATATACACAATCTGCACATTTAATGGGGCTAAAAATGGAGAAATTAACAAAATTTTAAATAAAATAATGTTCCAAATCCTTTGTAATCCAAGTCTGCCTGAAGCTTGTGACCCAGAGACAGCAGCAGATGCTGGGTATTTTCCCTGATGATGCTCTGCCAGGCCTATAATTCAACCATCTTTAGTTCCTGCTTGTTTTTTGGGCTTTTTGCCTTCAGTCTTGTCTTCAGTAAATGAAATTCATGTTCAGTGAGGTTTGGGCTGAGTGATTGACTTGGCCAGTCTAAAGATTTCACTTTCTGACCCTCCAAAGATCTGTAGTTGCTTTAGCATACAAGGTGAATCGCTGTCCAGTGAGTTTTGAACTTGTTTAAGTCTGAGGATGCTTCTGTGAATTTCAGCCATATATGCTTATACAACCTTGTTTAATGGATAAATTGGATGCTTTTGATTGTGATCAGTTCCTTCCTTTCTCTGTATTTTCCTCGTTCCTTAAGCTCTGGTACACATTGATCTTCTCACCTGTCCATAAGACTTTGTTCCAGAATTCTGTACACGTTTAAGCAAACTGTAACCTGACCTTTCTGTTAGTGAAGTCTTACCAGTTTACTTGTGGTAATTTATAATGCTTTGCATACTGAGATGCACTAAATTTAATTAACCAGGACTAATTATGTTCTCTTTGTAATGAAACATGCGGTTGGTTAGTGTTCTTTATATATCCACAGTACGCTCAGAAAGGCCTATTGTGACATAGCAATCAATATCATCATACTGCCCACCCCTGTGCTGGTTTTTGTTCTGTTTATGGCATTCTTTGACACATCTAGGCAGATGCTTACATACTGCATTATGCTCTTGATCTGTTCATCAGCATTTATACATATTTGAAAGATGGGCTCCAAGGACTAATTAATGGTTGATAACACTGATAATAAAATTTTTGGCAACAAATTCTTCTGAGACTTTTGCAGTGTTGTTTAGAAATGATAGAGGTTTTTCAGAAATATCCTTTTTGAGATTATGAAGGGGTTGTTTATTATTTATTTATATGGCCCATAGATGTGTTTGAGCTGAGCAGAGCAATGGGACCTCCAGGACCAGTGGTCAATTTTGGAGGGACTCAGCAACTGTAAGGAGAAGCCCCTTTCCAAGGAAAACAATGCCTTATACATTTGATTTGCAGCATAAATATTAATATTTTCTGAAGAGCTTTGTGTAGGGAGGTAATAAGATGATGAAGATTAATTCACTCTCTTTTCTTAAAATAAATCTATTATTCATTTATATGAATTGTGAATAGCTGTGGTTACAGTCCTTACTGAAATTATATTCTTCAGTCATCCGCTGAAAGTATTCTTTGATAATAATACAAATGCAGTGCAGTTTATGAGTGCACAAAGACTTTTTTGCAGTTGTTCTTCATATTTGACAATATTCTGTGGTCGTCCACTACTGTGGTAATCAAAGGTCTGCCAGGTTGTTTGCTATTGCTAAGCTCACCAGTGCATTCTTGTTCCTTAAGCATGAACCACACAGTTGATTTGGACATGATTTGTGTTTTGGCTATGTCTTTGGCTATGATAGTGATTACTTATTTTACTCTTTCTGACCATGCCTTCAACAAATGAGCATGTTGTGTGAAGTGAGAAGAGATCGTGTGAGAGAACTCGGGCTAGAGTACTGGGCAGCGTCTGCTTTAAACTAGAGGGCTGGACCCCCTGCCTTGAGGAACAGAGATAGTGATAAAGAACACAGAGGAGATATGATGGTGCTGGGGTGCTAAAATTTTGCCACAGGAAATGAAATGTAGAGATGGAGAATATATAGGACACTCGACAAGCAGCTGAGCAGCAAAATTACTTTTAGTTCCTAATGTGTGAAAAACATATAACTGCCTATTTACTTATACTGTATACTGTCTCTGAATTAATTTATCATCATGCACATTTCCATCTGCCAAGGCCAAAGCTGTTTCTGTCATACCAGACATGAAGTCCAGTACTGGCTATTCTGCGTAACAAGTTCTCTTATCTGAGTGTGCACACAAGAATGGCTAATCAGTGAAATCTAGTGTTAACATGTGAAACCACCATGTCCATGGTAGCTGAGCTCCTCCCATGAATGCATTTATCGTCAGTCTCGATCTACCTGCATTCTCCTCTCTCTCATCTCTCAAGCCTAAATACAGGCTTACGTCGGAGTGCAGTGTCAAAAACACACGCTCTGTTTGGAGATATTAGTGACCCTGAAAAGGTAATATTTAGCTTTAGTGCTAATGCTACAGTAAACAACGTCCTGAGAGCCTTTTTTCCCTCTCAGAGTACCAACGTCAGGGTTACTGGAAGAGTAATCTGGCTGCAGATGGTCTGGGGTTTATGCTTTTACTGTCTTTATATGGGCACATTTCATCTGAAGCTCACCATCCTCAAGGGGAAGGGGGGTGTGCTTCCAGCAGGTCAGTGGGATATTGGGTCATGGTTGCATAACAGAGGTAGACACACTGACGTTATGGACTCCATTACTGTGATTGATGTGGCAACAAGGAACAAGAGTGATTTGTCCTTCATTCCGTCGTTCATCTGTTTAGCTAATTCTCACTCTTGTTCTCTCTCTCTCTCCCTCTCTCTATCTCTAGGTCTGGCCGTGACCCCAAGTCTTCCTCGTCTCTCCTCCTTCTTGCAGAAGTCATGGATTAAAGAAGAGGGCTGTGTGTGTGTGTGTGTGTGTGTGTGTATGTGTGTGTGTGTGCGCGTGTGTGAGAGAGAGTGTGTTTGCGAGCCCTTGGATATTACCATGGTGGTGAGATGGCTGCTGAAGAACTCCCAGTGAGAATACAGAAAGTAAGTCTATAACCTATTTGCCTTCATCACTAGTCATGCAGAATGAGAATTCCCATACAGATTTTACAAGGAATGAGGGGGATCATTCTTGGTGCTGTTGTGAACATAAATGCCAAAACATAATGGATAATTTCTCTCTAAAATTAGAAATAGCATATCTAATACATTACCTGTCCAAAAGTATTCAGACACCCCTAGTGAACTCAGCTGCTGTAAGGTACACCCATTACTGATACAAGTGCCCCCCAGCATTACGCTGTGGAGCAATAGAACTGTGTTCTCTGTAGTGATTCAGTTTTTTTGGGAATGAGTTGGAGTGGCATTTGTGGTCCAGAACTAACATCCAACATCAGTACCTGACCTCACTAATACTCTTGTGACTGAATGCAATCATATCCTGACAGCAATGTTCTAATATCTAGCATAACGCTTTCTAGTAGAGTAGAGGCTGTTACTGCAGCAAAGGGGGAATAAATTCCCCATTAAAACCCTTTATTTAGGGCGAAACGCTACACAAACAGGTGTCTGCAATCTTTTGGACATATAGCACATGTAATAACAATTAGAATAAATCTTTATTCATCACACTTTTCATTTTAGTTACTAAGTTCTTTACTTAGGAATAAGTAAAACATTGGTAAGATAAAAGCACCATTGTCTGAAGAAAAAATAACAGCCCAATTACAAGCCACAGCTGAAAGTGAGCCACAGTAGTTCTGGACATGTGTTAGGCTAAACAAATATGGCAGTGTTGTGTTTATAGACTAAGTATCATAGGGGCTGTACATAAAGGAAGAACAGTAAGGGCCCTAAAACTGAGCCTGTATGTACAGAGTGACTCCAAAATATCTGTAAGATGCTGAATTTTAGATCAATCTCATCATTACTGTTATGTATTAGACTAGTGAGTGTATCTACAGTATATGTGACACCACCCTTTTTGCCATCTTGAATTTGTCATTAAGCATCTTAAAGATATTTAGGTGATTCCTGACTTTAGACTGACCCTGTAGGTACATGTCTGTTCTTGTATCTATGAATATTATGTACAGTTGCATTACACTGTGATGCGTAGAAAAATATGTACAGTGACATAATTATCAGTAGAATATGAAAATGTTCAGTGCCATAATGCAAGCAGGCATGAGACATTCAGTACTATTTAAAGTTAGCCTGTTTGTAATTATGTACTCATCCTTGTTCAAGTGCTGTTACAAAGGTTAAAGATGACTCTCCAACCTACGAGGCCGTCTGCGCTCATATAAGCTTCATTAGGGTCAAATTCAATCGTGTTTTCACAACTATCAGCATGTTTTCATTAAATAAATGAAAAATGAATGGCATATGTTCCAAACTGTTGCAATAATCTGTGACGTAGTCACACGATAAGCTTCCAATAAAGCACAATACACTCTGTGAATCATACGAGCTACATTTCAACAGGGAAAACTGGCTCTGATTGTGCAATTCCAGGGGATTTTCAGGTCATGACTTTTGACATATTTATGTGTACACAACAGCCCCCTCTTAATTAGAAACATAAAGTTATGATGAACTTGAGGCTTATAGGGTGGAAGATTTGTTGCCCTACCTATTGCAACAGATTTTCACTGTTATAGACGTGCCCGAATAAGTCACTTTGTGCAAGACGTACACACAGGAGGGCTGGGCTGAATCCTGTTCAACCTCAGAAATGTTTTATGTCAACAATAATCCCTGAGTTTATCCCAGAGGTTTGAGCAAGGGCCCTTCGCTTAATAGCTCGAGTGCTTTCCTGAAATCATTCGCTTATAGTGAGGCCTGCTCGGCGCTGCACACGCAACACAATGCAAACGGCTCTCAGTAACTGGGTCAGCTAAACTCCTGCTAAAGTGCAGAGCTGTCTGATTAATAATGCATAGGATGAGGAGGAAAAAAAGTTTCTTCATCTTGAGCAAAGATATTTTCTTACTGTGCCAAGGCACACACACGTGCACATATACCCACTCCTACATACCCGCTCATTTCCTATTACCATGTGGGAGGTTGCTTTTTATGGAGTGTCAGGCTTGAATCTTGAGTACTCTGGTTTTGATCTATAAACAGAAGTGTTATTTCATTAGCTTTGCTTATGAAAGCAGGATCTGTCATAGTGGGGATGGCAGACACTTAATATTTGCCCTTGTAAGGAAATATTGGAACATTTCTGTACCCAGCAGGGGTTTGACACTGCCCTTTAGCTTCATCAGATTTGAATAGTTACTAAAGTTGATAAACTCAGTTATGAATCTGCTGACATAACTGGAACTAGATTTTATCCATAGGTCATTTTCTTTCTGATCTGCCATCAGTTTATCTCTCTGATTATGTCATGTGCACTAACCAGAGAACATCTGTAACGTCACACTCGTTGAGGCTGGAGCAGGCTAATTGTCTGCATGGTTACACGTACCAAGAGTTATGTGGGCATAAGAGTTTGTTTTTAGAACAAAAAAAAACAAAAAAAAACAAGAAGTTACATGTTTTAAACAGAAAGAACAAAAGCAATTATTTTTGGTTAATGAGATTAAGCCAATTAAATGTTTAGGGTTATACTTAGATAATTCCTATTACTTATAGGTAGTTACATATAATATATATGAGATGCTGTGCAATGTCAGAGATCACTCTATCGTTTTCTTTCCAGTCAAAATGGCCAGCGACCTGTGGGGGGAAAAAACAGGAAACATATATAGTGTCATCCCAAAGTCTGAGACCACACTGAAAATCTGGGACTGTTTTCATTTAAACAGAAACACCTTTAAAGTCCAGTCTTAGAAGTTGGTTTGTGTTTTCTACTTCTTACAATCCAAGTAATCCCAAACATGAAGTTAGGCTCATAAGTCCATAAAACCTTATTCTACATCTCAGATGTCCAGTTTTGGCGTTCTAGTGCAAACATTCCTCTTTTTTGTTTTTTGTTTCCTTTTCTTTGTAACATTTTTCACACATTTCATGCCCATAGTGACAACTTGTCTTCTTACAGTGGAAGGATGGACAGAAACACATGGTTTTTTGTGGAGCTTGATTTTCTCTTTAAGTACCGTTATTCTAGTAGTGAGTGTTTGGGTGGTCATCAGTTTTTGCACAGTTGTTTGGAGTCCTATTTTCTCTTTTTTAATTTTTTTTTGTTTGTTTTTTGAACTGCCATTTTGCAAACTCCTGTCTTACTTATTTTTGTTTGACTTTCTTGTTTCTTATAAAAGTAAATTATATTATATCTAATATCCTCAGAAATATCTTTTCTAGTTATTTTGGATGGACCTGAGAAAGAAAGGAAGGAAGGAAGGAAGCTAAAGTGTGTTTGGGTAGCTGTTTGTGTGAATGTTAGAGTCTCTATGAAGGGAAACATAATTGACAGCTTTTAGTGGGGAGGCACTGCTGTAACTCAGTTTTAAGATTTGTGGACAAATGAAATGGATGAATATAGATTTTATATTAGACTTGGTGTTGAAGGATTTTGTGTCATTTTCTTTTTCTGTTTTCTGCCATTTTCTGAAGATAACTTGTCTTTAATGGCCGTTTTGACTAAAATTAAATAAACGAAAAAGTATTCCTTGATTTTTGCACAATACTATAAATATGCCCACGTCCCAACGTTGTACAAAAACAAACCTGTGTGTGTTTGTCCACAGAGCTGTTTCTTCACTGTGGGCAGTGTGTCTCACATTCCTCTCATTCTTATGTCACGCTCCATAAGTGATGCGGAAGCGGCCAGCCGGCCACCCGGCTGACACGCACGCTCACACACATGCATATACAAAGGTCTCTGTTATTGTAGCGTGCCCGTAGGTGCTGCCTCTCTGCCCAGGACAGCTTGGTCTGGACTGTGCTGACCTCATCTGCATGGCATTTGACCAGGGACAAATACAAGGCCTCGGAGTGAGTGTCTCAGCAGAGTGGGCTGCTGTAGGACAGAACACAGAGTGAGGATTGTTGGTGGAGGGGGTGATGATAGAAAGCATTGGCCCCAACTTCAGTGGGTGCAGACTAGAACATCACATCATCCTGCCCACGGTCCAGCTTTCTGACTCATTCACACTCTGTCTGTACTGGCAGGGGTGTGAGCATTTACATATGTATTAGTTTGTTTTGTACTTTTTCAGGACAAAAACAGCCCTGTAAAGGTTAAGGGTTAGACTTTCGTATTACATATAGGCACTTATATGTTGTGTTGTTACACTCTCATGTAGGGAAAACCCCCCAGTAAGCCCACTAATATCTACATCTAAACATATAGATTTCTCAGTGTGGAGTAGTATGGATTTCTTATGGATCTTTTAGTTTTCTGTCACATATCTTATGAAATGAAACATCCCTTCCCTTTTGACATAAATAAGCAAGTGTTATGTGATTTTATATATAGAACACTAAAGATGAGAAATTTGAACTGGGCTTAAAGGGGCCCCTGATACACTATAATCCCACCTGTGTTCATTGTAAGCTCAATCAGTCTATTATTTAGAAAAGAAAATGAACAGTTTTAAAAAATATATAAACATATAAAAGGATAAGAGGCAAACATTTATGTTGGCAAATACTTGTAATGAACATTTTCAACATTTCATTCATTTAAGTAAGGCTAAGTTGGCTAGTTGTCTGCTTAGTCATAGTTTATTTATTCATTTGCTTATTTATGTATTTACTTATTTGTTTATTTTTACAAATCCATATATATGTCTGCAAATGAGAGTTTGGTCCATGCGACTAGTTAATGTCTGTGTAAGTGTAAGCGTCTTTCTACTTTACTGAGTGTATTTTTCCTATTTGACTTACAGAACTTTGAATATGATGTAGGGGTGTAGCAATACTGTGTAATGAACATTGTAATGAATATTGGGGTAGTTCCTCAAAAAACATAATCCAATGAATTAATAATTACCTCTAAAATGGGACTATGTTATTTTCTTATTTCCTGGAAAATCCCATTAGTCATGATTTTACTATGTTACTCTGTAGGGCAGAATAGGTGACTTTGAAAATCAGGCCTTTCGGTTGATTAAGACAATTCGTCACTGGGGACCACTCTAATTCAAGAAATGTAAAAACAATTAAGTTGTAGAACATTATGGCTTTTTTAGTTGACCCCAGATGAAAAAACTTGAAATAGCAAATCAAAGAGTTGAAAGTCTTTGTAATTCCTTTTAACTGACCCATGTTGTGTCCCTGTACATGAAAAAGAGGTTAACCTCTTACATACTAAGGCTTATTATTTAGTCACTACAGGGCCAGCTGGTGGGTCGTTAAGGCGTTAAAGGTCTTGTATTTTCATAGACATTAGGTTTTCATCCAATGTCTGTTGACAAGTGCCATAGAAACGGGTAACAGGCTTTTTGGGTCCAAGTGGGAAACAATAAAATAAAACACTAAAAACAATAAAATAAAACATCTTATTGGTTGCCTTATTTTAGAAGCAAAGTAAGACAAATTTCCCTTTTTTCCGCTAAAGTAGAATTAGCATGTCTATAAGGCTGTCATGACATCAGTGAAACAGTGGCTTGTATGATTCAGAAAAGACATACAGCTATGTTTAAACCTGTATGAATAGTCAATAAGTAGTGAAATGAGAAGCAATAGCAAGTTAGATACCAACTAAAACTAGTAATGATGACTCTAGCTCAGAGAAGATATCTTTTAAAGTATTTCTTAAATAGTGATACCTAAATCTTGAGCAACAGTGTCACAGAGGTGTTTCATTTTTTTATTATTCTCTCTATCTATATACAATTCATTTATTAATCTCTCTATATTTATGAATATTATTGACACATTCCTTGTTTGTCCCACAGAGTTTCTTTCTAAGACCATTATGTGAAAAAAATTTTTTATGTGTTTGCCATGTAGTCAGAGCAGTCCCTTCACATGGACACAAATAAATCGAAATATAATAATTATATTGGTTCAGAATTCACAGCAACAGTCGTGATGTAATTTAGAGTATAACAAAACCTCGTATTTCATTGTATAATATAGTATTATATCATAACGTGTGTGTTGTCTTGTGTTGTGTTGTGTTGTGTTGTGTTGTGTTGCGTTGTGTGTTAGATCAGGGCACAGCTTTTGTTTAGTGTTTCTGTGCTGCTTAGAATCCCGTCTGAATGGATCAGACAAAATTCAACTTTGCCATTATAAAGTCTCAAATATTATACTTTTATAATGTTTAATGCTCTTATAAACGGAAACATAAGTCACATTTTAGACACTCCCTATTTTTGTTGTACTGATAAAAGTACTGACATATCTAACTGAAATATGAATTTTGTAAAACATTACATTCTTAATATGACCCCACATCATGACAAGGTATAAAAATAAATGTGTCAGTTTCCCTGCTGCTGTTAGACATAGATCACTGACCTGACCCAGCCCAGCTTCCACTTTCTTTTTCTCTCTCTCTGCTTTTAGTGCTGCGCTGTTTTAGTCATGAATGATGACTATGTTAAGAGTGAGTGCTCTGTAGCAGGTTCTTCTCGGAGAAACGCATGAGCTTTAATTGTCCTCTCAATCAGCTTCCCATCAGAGGCAAACTGGACAGAGCAGGTGGCTATTAGTATTCCTCTGAAAGAATTGAAATATAGCAGTCTGTACTTTGCAATCAACAAGCTTTTGTTTTTCAGTTAGTCATCGTTAGAGTTACCATCAGCTACTCTGATATCGCTCCCCAGGCATTCTTCTTAGACACATCAGACTCTCCAGGGCTATAATTAACCAGTCACCAATATGTGGAGGAATAGATTGATGTTTGACATCAGGACAAAAGCTAGAAAGCCAGATTGTGAAATCTGCCCTTTGTCCATTTTTCTTTTACTTACATTTCCTTCTCTCTGTCTTTCTCTTTTCTCTCTAGATGAGAGCGTGACGCTCTGGCTACCACAAAGGCCACTGCTGCAGGCTGGGCAGCGCAGCCACATGATCACATGACTCTGGACATGGACGCGGTCCTGTCAGACTTTGTTCGGTCCACGGGGGCGGAACCGGGTCTGGCACGAGACCTGCTGGAGGGTAAGACGGCCGAGTGGTCACTCGGATGAGTAGGCTATATTGCTATTACACCAGTAGCCATTATCACTGTATAGTCATAACATAATGTTAACTGAGATTAAAGGCTAATGTGATTTTTTGCTTTACAGTCCTCTTGTAATAGTTGTCTGTGTACTTTTTCTGTGTGGCCTCTGAATGTAATCATAGCAGTGATGAGTGTAGTGTTAAATGTTTCACACGGCTGTGTGGAGTGCCGCAAACCGTATCAGGCCTGGACTATGCCTATGGAAGATAGCTTCCTTTGGCTAGGCTAGCAGTAATGAGCCATGCGATGCAGTGCAGTAAAGTGATGGATTGCTCTGCTTTCAGTGCTGTGCTCAGCTCCAGAGGACTGGGATGCTCATATTGTCATATTGTGGCAATGCTGTGATCCACGCTGCTCAGGCCTCCATATCCATTCTCCCTCCATTGTGGCGAGCACAAGCCAAATGTTATGAGATTGAATATTTGAGCTTGCATCATCAACCTGTCCAATTTTGCCTATGTTTTCAAGCGTGTCTGTCTGAAGTTTGTAACATAAAGCCGCTAGCATGTTTGTAGCATTTTGATGGATTTATCTGAGCTGCTGGCACAGATTTTTTAAGCTGATTTGAAGACCAGAGAGCTAGGGTGGTGGTTAAAGGTACAGAGGCAGGTTTTTTATTCCAAAGGTTTTTTTTTTCATAAAATAGTGGGAGAGGATTATAATGTTATGTGTTCATGAGTGTTATGAATGTCGCATTTTTCGCCAAGCTTTTTTCTTTGTTTATAAAGCAGCTTTGTGACAGCCCCTTCTTTGTTTGCCTGATTTGTCAAAAAATGTCATGAAATGTTCAGAAAAATAACAGCCTCCAAGTTTACAAACTTTTTAGAGGGCTTTTATATCCCCTGTAGTTTAGCCTCTTAAAGGAATAAAGATTTGGTGGAAAATGTATATATATCTCAAATAGTCTTGCTTATGGAGTGTCAAACGTTGCATGATACACTACTATAAAAATGAATAGCATGTTGCATGGCTAAAAACAGCATACATTTCACACTTCGTCTGTGTTTTTTATTGAAAATAATATATGCAAAATTCAGGCTTCACACGATGCTAATTGGTCAACTGTAAGATTAGGTGAAGGTTAGTTTCATAGCTCCAGTGCAAAACAAGAGAGCTTGGTGTCTAACCAAACATGTCTTGGGTAATCTGAGACATTCAGGTTTGTGTAGATTTTCATGGAACTTTTTCTTTGACTCTAAGAATGTTCTCTGAATTAAATATGAAGAAAAAGGTCTCTCATGTAGCCCCTGTAAGGTTGCATGTGGTGCGTTTTCTGGTATTGAGCATATAAGCCAGTGTCTGTCCTGGTCTGGTTGACTGAAGCCTGGAGAAGCTTTCTGGTCCCAAGACCAGTGGAGGAATGCGGTGGGTTTGTGCTCTGACTGGCAGCAGGGACGGCCCGCCACGCTGGGCGGTGGAACTGATTTAGGGCTGTGTGTGACGGCTTTACGAGGACGCTCCCCTGGGAGACCTTTGTGCCTGCTCAATGGAACTCATTGTGGAGTGGAGAGCTGCTGGCACTGGCACAGAAAACATAGCCTCTCCAGATGAGACAGAGCAGAGAAATATGCCCCCTAAGAGGAGATAGACAGAGAGATACCTTATAGTGATCTACGCAATATATTATAGAGTTTCATTCCAAAATGCTGTACATTCATTTGTCACAATTTTGGCTGAAAAGAAAAGAATAGCAGCTGATATATGATGGAAAATGCATTTTCATTTCTATAATAAAGGTGATGTTATATAGTGTTGTAGTCAAGACCATTTGAGGCACGTTCCAGTCAAGACAGAGAGCTGAACATGTTAAGTCTGAGTAAAGACCAAGACTTTGTAGTAGTCGAGTCTGAGTGAAGACCGAGGGTGGCGAGACCAAGGCGGTACTGAAACTGAGATAAGGATTTTATCAGAATATAAAATTAAAAAGGGGAAATTTGAAATTCCTTTGTAGTTCATTATTAATTTGCTATCATTCATTCTAAATGATATCTATTAATAATTAATGTCATATTTTATAATATATTTTGTGAAATAATAATATGTAGCTTACTTACTTACTTACTATTATGTTATAGTGTTAGTCTGACTTTGTATTGTTACTTTTGATGGTGAGGTTATTCAGAAGTCACTACCTAAGGTCACTACCAAAAAAAATTTTGGAACCAGTTAACATCAACAAACCAATAATACCCAGTTAAGTCATCATGGAAAGCATCGTCAGCAAGCAGATTTTATTTACACATGTAGAGAAAGAACTGTTTTATGTTCTTTGAAGGTTTTGTTGATATTGGATAATGACACAAAAAGTCCAGTTCCCAATGACCTCAGACGGAGACATTGCTGTCGGCTGGTCTCAAGAACAATTTCCAACTTATCCCAATTTTAACAAGACAAGGCAGGGCCAAGATGATGCCAAAACCAAGACAAGACTGGACTCAAGCACTGTAACACTAATATTAATCATAATATGGCAGTGACATTTCTTGTGTGTAAGGCCCACTAACAGCAACACATATCATTTAAAAAAGGAATTCTTTAAAGTGTCTATAGTGTCCTTAAAATGACCTTCAGTTATATTCTATTATCTAAATAATCCCTCTGTTATCAGCTTGAAGTGGTCTGCCATGAGTGTTCACCATTCACCAATGTTTTTAAACATTATGGTTGAACATTGGGTTTTCATGAGCCTACACTACTGCTACAGTGCTGTGAAAAATTATTTGCCCCCTTTCCCCTTGCAGATCATCATACTGCATTCAATATTAGACAAAAATAAACCAAGTAAACACAAAATGCTTTTTATGTTTTTAAATGATGATTTTATTTATTGAAGGAAAAATGCTGTTAAGCCCTACCTGGCGCCATGTGAAAAAGTAATTGCCCCTTTAGCTACTAAATCAACCAGTTAACCAAATTCAGTTGACTATTGGGTTCAATTTCACTAGCCACACCCAGGCATGATGAATCTAGACATCATTTAAATAGAACCTGTCTGGCAAGATGAAGCAGGCTAGAAGGTCTTAAAAAGCAGCGCATGATGCCATGTTCTAAAGAGGTTCAAATACAGATGTGAAACAAAGTCACTGAAATCTGCCAGTCTGGAACGGGTTACAAAGCCATTGCTGAGCCTCTGGGACTCCAGCGAACCACAGTGAGACCCATTATCCACAAATTGAGAGAACTTGGAACAGTGGTCAACCTTTCTAGGAGTGGCCAGCCTACCAAAACTTCACCAAGAGCGCATTGATGACTCATCCAGGTAGTCAAAAAAGAACTCAGACAAACATCTAAAGAACTGCAGGCCTCACTTGCCTCAGTTAAGGTCACTGTACACAATTCCACGGTAAGAAAGACACTGGGCAGAAATGGCATCCATGGGAGAGCTGCAAGGTGCAAACCACTGCTGACCAAAAAGTACTCAAAGGCTCGTCTCGTATTTGCCAAAAAACATCTAGATGACCCCCAAGACTTTTGGGTTAATATTCTGTGGACTGATGAGTCAATGGTGGAACTTTTTGGAAGACATAGGTCCCGTTACATCTGGTGTAACAGAACCCATTACTTAACACCACATTCCACCATAAGAACATCATACCAACAGTCAAACATTGTGGTGGTAGTGTAATGTTCTGGGCTGCATTGCTTCTGCATCTTGTGTTTACTCGTGTTACCTTTGTCTTCTACTAAAAATAGTTGGATGATCTGAAACATTTTATTGTGGCAAATTAGCAAAAATAGAAGAAATAAGGTGTGCAAATACTTTTTCACAGCACTGTATATTAGTACTTAGCTCAGTTAAATATTGGTTAAGACTACTGTAATTAACAAGTCAACTAGAGTAGCTTATTTAGCTAAGGCTAAAACTTCATCCTTAGGGCCCTCAAGGACATTTGTCAGTCTATGTCAAAGTGTACTACCTCACATGGATCTGACAGTATTCTCTTGATGTCTGCACACCTATTGTGGGTGAGAATAAACACACACCTGCTTCAGTTAAATCCCCTCTCAGGCCTGCTTGTCTGGAATTGCAGCTGGCTAGCTGCTAGCACTGTCCTCACCTGCCACATCAAGGCCAGATCAGGCCAGTTTGCAGCCCAGCACCCAGAACTGCCTCCAGGAGTACAGCACTCCTCTTTTTTTATTGGGCTACCTATCTGTTAGCAGCCCTATGAATGTGACACTTATTAGGGTTGTGCTGATTTTTAATACACTTTGCAAGCAAGCAGGAATTGCAGACAGATCTCATCTTTTATTTACTCCATTGCCATGGCCATATATGTTACACTATTGCGGACATAATGAGATTATTGCAAAGGCATTGATTTTGCTGTCATGATTCTGCGTAGCTTAGCTGATTGACGATTCAGGTTACATACATATATCCGGGGGCAAATTTTCAGCCCGGTCGCTTGCTGCCATTGCAATTTGAGTTTTGCTTATGGATCGAATAGTGAAAGATGTGTTTTCTGGGATGTCAAGCAGTGTGCTGAATAAGGCAGGACAGTATGTACAGCATGTACAGCAGAGGGAACTTCCTTACCCAGCTCTTTTCCATGTGGCACAATTCCCTTTAACTATCTCTGTGGTGGAGTGCTTTAAAAGCCCTTTCTGAGGCCTGCGTGTTAATGGATGCTGCTGTTAAACTCTCTAAGATGAAGTCACCCTCTACACTGATCCAGGGCCAGCCTCTGTAGATAAATCCTGACCATAACATGATAAGAGAAGACAAAGAGCTGATTTGAGACCAACACTAAGAGTATTCTTCCCCAACACCCTGCCGTGAGGAGGCTGTTAAAGCAGAGAGAGTCAGGCTTTCTGCTGCGGCTGCCACTGTTTATGATTCGGGATTAGCAATTTGTTAATGGCCTTTTAATGAGCCTCACTGCTGACATTTCACAGTGAAGACAACAAGCTCTCCTTCTGAACAAATCAAATT